AGGATTAATCTGCAGGTCGCACCTTTTTAAGTCTGCAGTCTCGTTCACATGTGTGGGAAGTGTGGTTTTAAATGTTGAGGATATATAATGTTTTTTTCTGCTCTTTAGAGTTCCAGGTGTCTTTAATTACATCAACCAGGTTCATGTCATGCTTAGTAAGATGTATGAACCTAACAATCCTGGTTTCTAGAAGCAGGGTTTTGAACCTAGCCTTGTGTCTGAAGCTGCCAATTGTGGCTTATTTAACAAACTACAGCTCAGCACTATGCATAGACTCAACCAGACACTCCCCAGATTTTCTCCTGTTCTGTCTTGCTGTGCTATTAATATTTCCTCTTGCAACTGCTTTCACAATTCACAAAAATTTCAGCAATGGGGAGGGAGAACAGAATCAAAACTAACAAGGCAGCAATATGGATGAATTACCTGGTTTATCATGACTTTACATACCATAAACAACTTGGGATGTTTCTCCGGCACACTATCTTTATACAGCACGACAGCTTTTAAGTACGGTAAACGATCCCAGATCTGTGTAAAGTTTAAGATTTTTTTAAAGTTTTTTTTTTTTAAGTGCTACTAGAATTATGGATAATGCTATACTGGAACAAAGAAATTAAGCTTTCCAACACTAGCTTAACAGAAGAAATCAGACAGGTGAACATTACCACGTGGGCCAAAAAGAGTAAAAATGGTACAAATGCTTCATTTCCACATTACTGTATATTTGTAGGCTTACAGGATATTGTCCAGCAAGAATTGTGGAATGAATGGTTAAACTTGTTTTGTATCTAACATTTAAGCCACAAATCACAGTTGACTAACCACAATGCCTGGGTTCACTCGACACGTTAAGCCAAAAGTAAACAAACCACCTTCCAGCTTAGTGACGTGCAAACCTTTTTGTGTTTGTTTCACAATTGAGTGCAGCCCAGGTCAACTTTCAGCACTGACCTCTCACAGTCTATTTACTCAGTCTCAAAGTAAGTTTTAAATCTGTAATGTAAGCTGCTCTGATTGATTGGAGCAGCAAACATGGGATATAAATCTAACAAATAAATAAATGTAAACCCAGCAAATAAATTCACTAATAAATAGACGGAAATAAAGTCAAGCAGACATTCTCAAACAGGTGTGTGAATTCTAGCAGCAAATGTCTCACCTGTATTATTTTGTCCAGCTGCTTCTGGTTTTCCACCACAATAATATTAGCTCTGCAGTCATGAGCAATATAATGACAAGCCTCTGGAGAATTGGTGGTGTAGATCCCTGTCACAATGCCACTGTTGTGGAGGATGAGTGGAAATAACAGTTTCCTTTTAATGACAAGCTCCTGCGTTGTATGTGTTGAGCTTCTGACTTGTCATATCATGCATGTGGGTTAATGTTTCTCATCTTGAAAACCAACGGGTTGTGACAATCATATTAGTACATAGGATTTTTTAAAATTAATGAACAGGGCCTAGCTGACCTTGGCTGATCTCAAAAGCTAAGCAGGATTGAAACTGGGTGGTACTTGGATGGAAAACTAGCCAGGAACCCCTAGACTCTCACTCTCTCTCTCTCTCTCTCTCTCTCTCTCTAGCATTTTTCCCACAGGTACACAGTCTGCTTTTTTCGGATCAGCCAAATGTTGATTCATTGGTTGTGACAGGAATTGACCAACCAACTTGTCCCCTGAACCTGACACCTTGGGCTGAGAGAGAGGGACTGGCCGAAAATCACCCAGCTGGCTTTCATGCCTCACTGTCTCCTGCTTTCTAGACTAATGCCTTCACCCCTAGATCAAATGGGCTCTAGTTCTAGACTGAGAAGTTAAAAAAAAAAATCAGTGGCAAACCACTTATGAAAGCTACATGGATATTTCCATATAATGAACAGGAGTTGTGCACAACTTGAAGACTAACTTTTAAAAAAATCCCTTGCAGGTCTGACTCAAAATTCTCACTGCACTTAATGCAGCTTGCTTGTAGTAAATGCACAACAGCCTCTTCTAACATGTTGACTTCTGGACGTGCTGACCCACAGTTCTCCTCGCCTGCAGTGAACTTGGCCAAGAGGGGGGCTTCAACTAAGACAGCAGCTACATCAGCCCATCTAGGAAAGCCCCCCGTGGCCAGGACTTTATTTGTGCCCAGATTCCCTCCATAAATCCCTAACCAGGGGCCGGGGGGGGGGGAATTTCCAACCTTACCCAGCAAAAACAGCTCCTACTGCCGAAATGAACCATTCTGGAGAATTAAAACCCAGAATTGCAACACTGTGGAATCGTTCAAGGCCAAGCTTGGGGAAAAAAAGGGAACAGTACAGTCAACATTTCTGGAAAGAAGGAAAAGTCCCATCAAACCAGCAGGAGTCTTTTTTTTCCCACTGAGATGTGAACTTTGCTAAATTCCCCCACTTTCTCACTTAGCTTGGCATGCATAATTTCTAGGTCATTTAGCACAGAATCTCTGTCCCATGCCAACTTTCAGGCTGGCTCTCTGATTTAACTGCTGCTTTTCTAAGCCCCATGCAATGTCTTGCTGTTTAAATATTACTTGCCTTTCTTTATCAAAATAGAAAGAAGAGCATTTGCAGTTATCTTCACCTATCAAAACAGCTGTGGCTTCATGAGGATGGGTGGACCAAATTATCAGGGCTTGAATATCTTTGGAATTGCTCAAAAGCCAACCAGTCCACAATCTGAAAACTCACTTTGCAATGTAAAATGAGGAGAAGGAAAAGGGGAGGAAGGAGAAAAACAGGAAGGTGGTATATGCCCAAGATTTGTTGAGTGAGATGCTGCCACAGGCTTCCTGCTGAAATATTATTCTTTATAAAACACATTGCAAAAATACAACTTTATAGATTATTCTTAATATATAGATAAAATTGCACACAAACCCACACCCACTTAAATATGTCTCAGTCATTCCAGAGACCACAGTCTGGGCGTCTGATATAAAAATCCAACGTTTACCTTTAGGAAACTTTTGGCTGCTTTCCGAGAAAGGTTGTAATACTCAGAAAAAGTTATCTTTTCCCATTTCCCATTCTTTTTGCTGGCCAATGCATTGAGAGACTTGTATTTCTCTAGTGATTCTTGGAACATCTGGTGAATTGTTACTGGCGTTTGTGAGCACAAGGGATCCCATCTCAGCTTCACCTGCCCATCAGCTGATGTGGTCCAGAGAGGAGCTAGGAAACAGGAGCAGATTATGCTGTAACATCTGGAAATGAAAAACCATCTGGAGTCCAGCTGCATTAGCTCCTGTTTCTTCATTGGGACCAAGCACATACTGAACAAGGAGGCAATAGACTTTCTGTGGCTTTTCCTCTTTCCTAGACAACTTTTTTTCTTTCAAGTCCTATCTTTCTATATCATAATCCTGTAGCCAGGAGCAGTTCTGATTTTACTGATTTATGAAACAGGGCGGGAGCCTTTGCAGCATGCAAGATAGAAACAAAGGCACAAATCATTGTCCAAAGAGCAGATTTAGTTCCGTCTTCAATCTGCTTTAATAATATACCATAAATAAACCAATTTGAATCCATCCTGATATTCATTTACCTGGGCATTTTTCCAGACTCATTCCAGAATCTTTCCAGATGCTCTGGGCTTCCGACAAATTTCTGTGAAAGGAAGGAAATGTAAAACTCCTTTTAAAACTCCGATGGTTAGTACTTTACATAGGATCAAAGTTCTGAAAAGAAAAAGAAAAATGGCAGCAGGCAATATTTTGATCTAAAACAGGGTACAAACATAGTACAATATTCTCCACAACAAGTCCCATGGATAAACTGCAGTCATTGCAGTTGTCAGCTTGCGAATGGCACTTGGCTTCTCAGAGGGGTGTCCGAGGGGCAGTCAAAAAATATGCCAGCGCGCATGTAAAGAAGTGCAGAGCCTCCACTGCATGTTGTAGCCACCATCTTGACTTTTCTTACCTCCCTCCCTGCGGACAACTCTGCTTCCCAGGATCTCTGAGTTTGGTACATCAGCATTCCCTCTCTTTTTCACAAGTGAAATTATTCTTTGCAAAGAATTCATTCTTCAGGGCAAAAAAAAAAATCTTATTCTTCTCAACAGCAAGCTTTACAACTCTGTATCATTTTTGGAATGTCTTTTTCCTTCCATACAGAAAACTGCACTTACTCCTTATTTCAGAATTCAGCTTATCCTCCCCATCCTGTTTCAGCCCAACATACTGCTGTTACAGAAAACACATTTCTATATTCCTATATTTTAGCCAGTTGAATTGTTTTAATTTGTCTTTAATTTGTCAAAAGACAACTCAAGAAGTTGCCAAGAATTTGCCATTTTTGAAAGACAAAACTTTCTTTCTGCCCAAGTTAAAGTCAGCCAAACAAAATGTGGGTCAAAACTTGTTTCCACTTCTTTGAAAAAGAAGCCATTATTGGTTTGGTGTATTACAGTCCTGACATCCTTATTTCTAAACAAGTATCTATCGGATTGTATAATTTCTCCAAGCATTATTTTACCTGATTCCTTTACTTCTGGTCCTCTCCTGTCCTGCTACAGTTGTTTTTTCAGGAACCGTCAAACTGAATCACTTCTTTGGAAATAAACCCCTGGGGCACCAACTGCTGATTTTCATTAAGAATCCAACAGGTATCAACTTGCCCAGATGTGCAAGAAGATAGATTGGAGCCTCCAAAGCTCTTCTCTGCAAACTTGCTCAGAAACTCCTCCGTGTTCAGCAGTGGCAAACTTTCCTTTCACTTGGCGTTCTTTCCTTGTCCATGAGAAGAATCTCAATGACCTTTGTCGTCAGACATCCCTTGGCACAAACAAAAATTGGATGCAGGAGAGTCAAGAATGCAGCCCTTGAGGAAGTTAAGTTTCTTGCAAGAACGGGTGATGTGGCTATGAAAATGTTCCAGCAACTGCGGTGTATCAGATGCCAACCGTATTTATGGTGAAATCAAGGTTCAGCTTTTGGAATCCTTTCTCCCCCTGGCTTGAGACATCTCTTTTTTGGGCAGGAGGAACAGCTGCTCTCTTGTTATGATAACAGACTATTTCATTTATTTATTTATTAAAATCTTTAAACCGCCCCATAGCCAAAGCTCTCTGGGCGGTCTGCAATAAAACACACTAAGCAAAACAATTTGAATGAAAACATAGACAATAAAGTAAGATAAAATGCAGAATGAAAACATCCTACAAATGAAAAGCCAATTAAAAAGCAGGGGGAAACAGAAAGGTCTTTACCTGGGACCGAAATGATACTACTGTGGGTGCCCTTTGAGCCTCTCTGGGGAGGGCATTTCATCAATGGGGGGGCCACCACAGAAAAAGTTCTCCCTCTTCTAGAGGCCCACCTCACCTCCCTTGGTGGGAGGATCTGGAGGAGGGCCTCATTGGAAGGTCTTAAGGTCCAAGTAGGTACATAAATCTAATAAATTAAATTAATACTGGAGAAGGCACTCAGGTAACGTGGTTCTATGCCGTTTCCTCTGGTTTCTTGCTGTTTGCTGCTAATCTTGTAAAAAACTTGTCAAATCGGTATTGATTCCTAGTGACCACATAGCTAGATTTTCTTCATGATGATCTGTGCCCAACCTGGTTCTTCAGGTCTTCCAAGGGTGCACCCATCGCCAATAACTGAGCCCATCCACCTTGCTGCTGGTCATCCTCTTCTTCTCTTTCCTTCCACCTTTCCCAGCATTAGAGCCTTTTCCAGAGAGCCAGGTCTTCACTTAATGTGTCTGAAGTAGGATAATTTGAACCTGGTCATAGCTTTTTAAAGGCTAGAGTCCACATCTAATGCTTGGGGTGAGGTTGACAAGAACTCTGGGTGGCACTAGAATGTAAAAGGCAGGGCTTTCTTAAGCAGAAAAAAAAGAAAAGTTGTTTTTTTTTTTTTTCCTAGGGTTTGAATAAACCCTGCTGAAATGCACCCTGCACCCTGCTGAAATTATACCAGAATGATAATTATTGTAAAATTACTCAACAGTGACATGGGGTAAAAAAGGATCATATTAAATGTTTGTGATTGTGCTAAGCCTCTTTTGAGGTGTACATTCCCAAAACTTTCCAAAAAGTGGATAAACATCAGGTCATTTCTGGCAATCAAAGGGGGTTTGAAGGATCATAGAAAAGTTTGTGGGCCATCTGAACCCTAAAGCCCTCCCGAATTGGAGGAAAGATAAAAATTAGCAAACAGAAAAAGGTAAGTGTTCCTAAGCAACAAAAGAGACTAAGGATAGAAACATTCCATTAGTTCCATTTGACAGTTGGCTAAGGAAAAAAGGTGGAAAATTCTCTTGTTGGATACTCAGTGATGGGTTTTCTCAGCTTCATTTTTTCTGAAGCGACCTCTCCTAAATAATCACCATTGTTCCATCTTCTGCTTCCCAGTTTGGCCAAAATGTCTTCCAGCATCACACTTATTAGATGAATTGCCACAGTCAATGCAGGTATGTTCCTTGCATCCCTCCCTGCCAAAATGACAGGGTTAATGGTTGCTATAATCACTTCTCTACAAAAGCTTAATTAAAATGGGTTTGATTAAAAATTAAAAGACCTTTGTGACTTCTCCAAGAATCTCAACTCAGTCCATGTTTGTGAGAGCTCTGCTTTTATTTTAACCTTATTCTCAGCATCTTCTATGGCTTCTCATACTTTCTTTTGTATGACATCTAGGGATTATTTTAATTGGTAAGCAGCTTAGGTTTAAAAAAAAAACAGAAATAAAGGTATCTATTAAATAATAAAAGTTGCTTCTGAGATCAGCTGACTGGAAGTTGACCTTTACATTAAACAGAGTCTTATGGCATGATCCATTTTCCACAAGAATTAATTTTATCAAAGACCATTCAAGACAATAAATTCATCCCCATTTAATAAGAGGGCTTGAATCCATGCTTCTACCACCAAACCACGTTTACTGCTTGGACCTTGCTGCAAAACTGAAGCAAAAAGAGAAGTGTAGTTTTTACTCATGCTTTATATCCTGCAGTTGAGGGCCAGGCACAGGTCTGTGGAGATCACCCAATTTGCGTGCAGATTCCACCTTCAGTCCTTGACATCTTGATAACGATGATGTGCTATCAAGTCAGTCTTGACTCTTAGCAGCCACATAGATATATTCTTCTCCAGGATGATCTGTTGTCAACCTGATCCTTCAGGTCTTCCAGTGCTGCCCCCATCACCACTGTAACTGAGCCCATCCACCTTGCTGCTGGCTGTCCTCTCTTTTCATCTTCCATCTTAAAACCCCAAGCAAATGGTAGGGATGCGCCACAGAGAATCGAATCAAATCGAGCTAGTTCTGTTTCGTTTTGATTGGGTTGTTTGCATTTAGTACTGACTCATCTTTTGAGCCAATCTGGGCACTCCGCTGGGAGTTGAGTTGCCCACCTGCCTTTCAATGGTCATTTAATAAAACAGGGGTATGCATGGGGTGTGGTCAAAAAAGTCAAGATGGTAACCACAGCAGTGTGCTCAAAGCTCTGCATTGCACATAAAAACAGGGACAGAGCTTCATGCGCACCATCATGGCTTCCATCTTGAATTCTTTGACCGCCCTTTGCCGACTCCCCTGAATAAACACTTCATTTGGCTTTGCTTCTGATCACATCTGTATGTTTTCTTCAGTTTTACGCAGTACATCTAAACAAAAGTCATGGAATCCAGAGAAGACAAAACAAACCGTGGGCAGCCATCAGCAGAGGATAAAAAATCTAAAGAACAGTCCAGAGATGATAAAAAAAGTAATGAGCAAAACCCAGAGGACAAAAAAACTAGTGAGGGTTCCTCGGAGGACAAGGAAGAAAACGAAGCTGATGAAAGTGCAGTAAGGCAAATTTATTTTGTTTCATGCACCTTTCCCTTTTAATTCCAGAGACTTCTGGTTCCTTCCAGGGCTATTTTTATAGCAGCCCATCACATTTTGCAGAAAACGATGTCACATTTGCAAATTAATTCTAGAATAAAAGCCACCAGCCTGGGGGCCGTGTAAGGTTTGTCCCAAAAGAAGAGAATATCTGCAGCTCAGGGTTGAACTGTGGAGTTCTTGGTGGTCCTGAGCTAGATGGTTGGCTTGCAGACATCTCATTATCCAACTAGGTAACATCATCAGTGCAAGTGGGTGTGGGGTT